AATAGTTTACTCCTTCAGGTCCAGGTGTGAGGTTCTGATCATCAGCACAGGACAGTCCTCATGTGTAGGAATTACAGAACAGGAGAAGGATTGCTGACTTATAATTCAAACTTAAGTTTCCTTTAAGCTTAATTTTCTCCAAATAGAAGGTACTGTTATAGATACAGGTAATCCAGTGTTTAGCTCTGAAACTGTGAACCATCAGCTTCACACAGACCTGCTGAAACATGTGGAGGATGTGAGAGTTGGAGGACAAGGCTCTTCTCAGGCCAGATGCCTGAGCAGACCCGGGCTTTATGTGGGCCGGGGGCCGTGGAGATTCTGGAGCTGCTCGGGTTCAATCATGGCATTTGCATATCAGAAATATTGCCACAGTCACAACAGACAGACGGTTAAACAGCTTCTGCTGCTAACTGACCACCGGCCTCAGGGATTCAGCAGAACTCAGCAGCAGAACTCAGCAGCAGAACTCAGCAGAACTCGGCAGAACTCAGCAGCAGAACTCAGCAGCAGAACTCGGCAGGCTCCCCATTCATCCTGGAGCTCACTCTAAGATTCTGTGGATTATTATAAACCGTCTACATGGTGTTGCTGTGCTCTGCATCCCAGAGTTTAAACCCACGATTCTGCACCTGAACCCCTCAGATCAGGAATCAGACTTAAATGAAGGTTTTAGCTCCGACACTGTGGAACAAAGATCCAGAGCAGCTCAGTCAGAGCCTCCATCTGAAAACCCACACAGAGAGATGCATGTGAATAATATGAATGAAGTTGCTGCTAGGGTTTGATTTTTAGTGTTTTGTTGTCATTCAAAATATTTTTTAATGTTTTCTGTAAAGTAGGTTGTAAATCTAGTGTCAGAAATGCTTTAGAGACACAGATTGTTGTTGTTGTTGTTACCAAACTGTGCAAAGAAAGAGCTTTGACCAAAATAATACCCATATTTGGGCAGTAGCTCGTCACGTGATTAATTGGGTTCTGAAGGGGCGTGGCCACTGATTAGTCATCATGACAACAGGTGTGCAGGTGGCCATGTGGAGCAGCAACAGGACGTCGTTCATGACGCGTCCTTCACTTCCACTAAGACTTTATATCAACCGCAGGAACATTTTCCTGAGTGGATTTAAACGTTCCACACGATGCTGTCGAGCTACGTGAAGCGCGTCCGGTCAGGTGGGTCGGAGAGATGCTGCTGGAGCTTCTAATATTAGCTCATGTGTTTGGTTCGAGCAGTTCCAGATGTCACAAAGCGTTGGTCCGTCAGAAATCACCGTTCTGATTCTAAATACTACAGGTGCTTGTTAACCAGCTTTAAAGGACCAGTTCTACTCATAATGTGGTTTTCTGTTGGCCAGAAAGTGGCTGCAGCCTCCACAGTGAAGCTGAAACGTTCTTAATTCCTCAGAAGACCTGATTTAATGAAATGTTCACGTTTAAAGCTCACAGGATAAATGCGCTCCTTTATTTAATGTCTGACATCATTCTGTTGGTTCCGGTCTGATCAGACACACCAGACATGTGGAACCACATCAGAATCATCCTAAATGTCATAAACATCTTTTATAATAAGTTATTTGGTTGAAAGACAGTAAAGTGAAACAAAGACACGTTTTCTACGAAGAGCTGCGACTGTTAGACTGTCTGATGGAGATGAAGCAGCTGGAGGCTGATAGAACTGGGTGGTTCTGATAGAACCGGGTGGTTTTGGTAGAACTGGGCGGTGCAGCTTCAACCAGAACACCGTCGGTCTGTGCTGCTGTTTGTCTCCTGCTTGGTTTGCATGGAGCGGCCTTTGGTTGCTCTTAGTGATGTTAACGTTTTAGTGTTTCCTCTTTGTTTGACCCGTTGGTGTGCTTCTCACTGGTCTTAGTGCTGAAGCAGTCGTTTGTCTGAATGATGTTGCTGTGATGATGAAGTAACTGGATGACTGACAGTGTGGCTCAGAGAATCTTCTTCTGTGTTTTCCAGCGCTGAAACGGTCGTTCGAGGTGGAGGAAGCAGACACATCCACCCTCCCGTCGCCTCTGTCTCGCCGGACCACCAACCCCCTCCGCTCATCCACCTCCTCCACGTCCAGCCAGCGGAGCTACGACCTGAGCTCCCGCAACTCCGACTACTCCTCGTCCTCCAGGTCCTCCCCCTCCGAGTCCTCCAATCCTCGCTCCCCGAAGACAGGCATGAGGCGCATGGAGCTGGCGGGGGGCCGCACCCCGGACACGGCTTCCTCCCGCCGCTCAGAAATCTCCATCGAGGTCTCGTCCAAGCAGATCGACAGCTCGCCCAGCGCCGGCATCACCCGCTTCGGCCTCAAGCGGCCAGAGGTCAGCCTGAGCAACCGCATGCACCTGGACGGCTCCTCCAACTCCATCCCCAGCGCCACCAGCAGGCGGGCCGAGCTCGGCGGGACCCGCCCCCATGAGCCACCTGCCCCTCCCAAGAGGATGGATGCCCAGCTGTCCTCGGCCCCCGTCTCCAGGATCCCCGAGCCCCCCCAGAGGAGAGCGGAGCCACCGTCCCCCAGCCTCAGCCCGGTGGAGGGCTCCAGGAGGCCAGAGATGCCCGTCTTCAGACAGCCGGATGCTGCAGTGGAGAACAACCACCACGTGCCACCTGCCCCGGTCGCCCCCCTGCCCTCCCTGGCCGAGCCCCCGGTGGAGAGAGTGCAGCCGCCAGCGGAGCCCAGCGCAGCCCGGCCAGCAGACCGTGAGTACCACTCGGGTCAGCACGTCCACATGAAGGCTGGTGTGTGTCAGTGTGTCTGACTGCAGTGCAGCTTTCTGTGTTTGGTGATTCGGTTGGTTTCAACATGGTCGTTCTTTCTAAATCTAATAACTTACAACAGTTGGCAGCAGCTGTGATGAAATCATGTGTTCATTGCTTTACTGTGTTTCTGACTTTATCTCATTTTAACTCCATCTCCTGTTGACATGAGGCTCAAACACAGTTAAACTCACGTTGTACATCTTTGAGCGGAGCTCTGCAGCTCACCACAGCACACACTTGAGCCTTTTTATTTTCTACTTCTTCACTACTTGTGCTGTTTTTTCGTTGCCTACTCTTAGAGTTTGAGCTGTGAGCTTGTCAGTCTGGACTATCTGTGAATGTAGGTCAGAGAGGTGGTGATGAGAATCCCAGGGCCGCTCCCAGGACAGCAGTAAAAAAAAAAAACTCCCTGAGACCTGATTTAACCATTTCAAGTTGAGGATGAAGTCACTGTAAACTTTCCCAGATGAGCAGTTGCACTTTGTGAACTGTGTATTTTCTGTTATTCACTGCCGTCCCTTACATAAGGAGCAACACATCACTGGAATACACTGAAAACATGTAAATGAACTTATCTCCATCTAGACAGCAGTGGTTTTACTTTCCAGCCACCGCTGACTAACCTCACAAACATGTGGTACTGAAAAGATGCCAGGCTCAAACTGAGCATCACATGTTTGTGTAGTAACTCGCACCATGAGGATGTGTTTTCCTGAGGTGGAACATGGAGGAGCGTCCCGTAGCTGTGGTGAGGTGCTGCTCCGTGGTGAGTCACTGTTTTGTTGGACTAACTGCTCAGGCTGACCTGGTCAAGTGTGGAGGAAGTGGACTCTAGTTTTAGACCGTCAGCCCACAACAAAGCCTTATATGATCTGGTGTTTATTTGCTTTACTTTTTGCCCCAAATCCAGCGCGTCACACTGATGACAGGTTTGGTTCGTAGCCAAAGGCAGCGTAAAGCTGCGTCTGATCCGGTGTTTCTGTGTCCAGGAGACTCAGGCGTCATCAACAAGGTGTCCTGGAGACAAATAGCTGGATTTCCATGAAGTACGCTGTGCACAATCCTCGTCGTTAGTTGATTAAATAAACCTAGCCTTTGAGGTCAATCCATGACTTTTTGTCTTGCGCCCCCCTCAGGACAAACTGTGCATTCGTGGTTGAATTAAAGCTGCTGTTGTGTTGTTTCTATAGTGTTGAAGTGCTGTGTTGGATGTGGCTGCAGCTCCAGCGTCTCAGGCCACAACACGGCCACAGTTCATGTTTCATGAACAGCCAGACAGTTTTGGTACACACACCAATATTCTGCTCATTAGCACAACAGTAAACGGCACTGATGAGTTGTCAACTGGACCAACTCTGGCTTTCCTTCGCCTCTGCTGCTCTGCTCGGCTGGTTCCACTGTGTTGGGCTGTTTGCACTCACAGGCTGAAGCAGCGGTGGAGAGTCAGAGGTCAGCTGCACAACATCAGCAGAAACCCCGACACTGAGCTCAAGCTAAACTAGTGCACATGAATTAGGTGAAGAACATCAGTACACGTCTTTGATTTTACATTCTTTTGGTTTTGGGGCACTGGCTGAATGCTCCAGAACGCACTTTTGCTTTTCCAATGCAATGTGGGAGGTCGCTCTCGGTGTCTTTACAGTATAAACACCGGGAGGCTTTCAAAGGGAGGGGCCTACATGTGCTAACATGCTCTAACATGCATTAAAATGCACGTGCGGCCGGACCGGCTGCCAAAACTCAGAACAGAGAATCTCCGGTTACAGCACACACAGAGAATGTGACTCTACTGCTCGACACCTCTACATCACTGGTGGTTGTTAGCTGCTGTAATAATCTAATATTTATGTTCCAAATGTCACATGTTGCACCTTCAGAGTGTCAGTGTGTAATCTCATCATGCCTGAGCTCTGAATGCAGGTGCTCGACGTGATGCAGCTTTAGTTCAGTGGAATGCTGTTTGCTTCCGTTGCTTTGAAACTTCCACTTTTTTCCCAGATTAATTGTGGTGTTTGCTTTCCTGTGTCTTGTGCTATTAGAGCAGCTCATCTTTATACTGGTATGCGAGTGCCTCTGCTATCTGGAGACAGCTGTGCTCATGGGCTGCTCTGGGTAAGTAGTATCTAGGCGTAGGCGGCTGGGAGGTGATACATTCCAAATCTGGAGGTCATAAAACATTTTACATAAAAATAGAAAGCCTCCTATTTCCACTTCGTTACCCTGTGTGTTGCCTGTTTTTGTCTCTTTCTGTCCATTTCACTACCTGCTCAGACGACTAGGGGTTTACTTTAATTCTGCCTTTTGCTGAAGATATTCCTTAACTGTAGTTTCCACTGCAGCGCTGGTGAATCGGTAAGATATGTGCATGCTAAATATCTGAAACGGCCTCGTGTACGTCGAAGGGAGAGAGGGAGAGGATTAAGCTTCAGCTTCTTCCACATTTGGCTCAGATTACCACCTTCCTGCTCAGCCATGCATGTGGAGGGAGGCCCTGCTACACAAACGCTGGGAAGAAGCAGGGAGCAGATAGGAGGAGAGAAAAACAGAGACGAGAGTGTGATTTCCTGTAAAGTTTGTCTACAGGGAGAAAACAAAATGAGAAAAGCCCACTTTAACCTCCAGTCATCTGGGAGTAAACTAAAGCGACAGACCACACTGGTGCAGCAGCACCCATGACTACATTTAACTTCCACTTCCTCAGCAAGAACACACAGTCAGGCAACTTCTAAAGTATTTATTTTTACATGAATATTTTAGGTTTCTTAGAAGGGAGTGTTTTGGGTTTATTCTGTTGCATCCGGTTGGACTCTGGTTGTGAAACATCAGATCACTGCGTACGGACTCGTGGGCTGTATAACTGGGATGTACCTGCCTTTGGGCTCTCTGTGTGTCCGTGCTCATGTGCATACATGTATTCAGTATGTACATTCATCCCCACATGGATGGTAAAGTTTAAGAATGTGTCGCCTAGAGGGGAGGGACTGACGGCCTGCTGATGAGTAATACGCTGGATCCGTGGAGGGTGTTGCAAAGCTCAAGGTGCTGTAATGACAGAGGCCTGCCTCGGCTGATGTGTTGTTTGTAATGATGAGCAGCTGTATCCGGTCTGAGGACGTGTTCTCATGTTTACGCACAGACACACACAGTTGTTCATTGTGTAGACAGCGCTCGGTTTCCTGTCCCTTTCGTTGGCCTCCATTTATTTTGTCATGGCTGCTCTGATGTCCCAGAGTCGCTCCATGTCGGGTAAACTGGACTTTGTTTTAGGATGCTGGGTTAGGAGCATGTATCTCTGACTGACACACTAGCGCCATACATGATGCATGCACAATGTTAAAGTATGCATGTTAACAATAGGTGAACAGCTCAGAGCACTTCACATAAGCCACCTGATGAAGAACAACAGGTAGGATGTGTTTCTGATGTGAGACTGTTTTCTCATTTATTTCTCATGATTTACTCGAGAATTTCAATAAATGATCTCTTCGTTTGTCACATTCAGTTCATTATCATCCATTTATCATGCAGCAAGCATCACGACCCTGAAGCATTTTATGTTTGTTGTGTCTCACAGTGAACAGTCCTCAGCCCTGGAAACATGCTGCTGATTTACACGACTGTTATATTTATATACCCGTCATTCTGCCTCAGTTCACCGACTGCTGCACCATCTTCAGTTTGACTGATTAGTTCTTTTTGAGTGGTTAGTATTGATTGAGTTGACTAAGTGTAAAATCTGGGCTCCTACGTTGTTGAGCTATAAATGATTAGAGACGGTGGGTCGCGTCCATTTCTGGATCTTTTCTTCGCACCAACCTGTGGATCAACGGTTGAAGAGCCACAACCTGAGAACTAACCTTCAGGCTCATTGATTCGTACATCTGGTGTTCAGTGGTCCAACCCTGCTTTGATAGAACAGTACCAACCGGTTATATGATGGTGTAAATGTGGTCAGTGATGCTTCTGTCTACTCCGATGTTCCACCAGCCATAAAACCTTTATTTTTCACCCTAAGAGGCTGATTTTTTCCCTGTGATTGGCACCGATAGGAGCTTTATAAATGTAGAGTTTGGTGCCAGTCAGAGACACATTTCATGAGAAAAAACTATTTAAATTTTGCATTTATAGCCAATGGGGCTGCACGGTGACTCAATGGTTAGCACCGTGACCTCACAGCTAGAAGGTCGCCGGTTCACGTCCCGGTGAGGACACCCAGGATCTTCCTGCGTGGAGTCTCCATGTTCTCCCCGTGCAGCGTGGGTTCTCTCCGGGTTCTCCGGCTTCCTCCCACAGTCCAGAAACATGCTGAGGTTAATTGGTGATTGTAAATTGTCCGTAGGTGTGAATGTGAGTGTGCTTGGTTGTCTGTCTCTAAGTGTAGCCCTGTGATAGACTGGTTACCTGTCCAGGTGAACCTGCCTTCACCCTGAGTCAGCTGGGATAGACTCCAGCCCCCCATGACCCTGGTGAGGATTAAGGTGTATAGATGATGGATGGATGGATTTATGGCCAATGCACTTGTTGAGCAGGTCTGATGGTGAAGTTAGCGATAGCTTTGTTACTGGGCTGAAACACAAATGATTCACATCACACCATCATACCTGCTGAATTCATGTTCAGATGTTCTACATTTTAAAGCTCCCATTGGATTAATCACTGGGGAAAATATATTAAAAAATCAGCCTCCAAGTGTGAAAAGGTTACAAAGGTTTTATGTGAATAGATGGACATTGTTTCCATCATATAACTGGACAGTGTTGTTCTATTGAAGCAGGTTCTACTGCTGGAGACCAGATGTTCATGTCGGTGAACCTGCAACATGTCAGACTGTCCCTATGTTAGGTTTCAGGTTGTGGCTCTTCAAACATCCATCCACAGGTTGGTGTGAAGACACGAATCACCTTCTTAAAGGATTTATAGCTCAACAGCTCACTCAATAGTCAACAGTTTAGAAGACGGTCGGACGTGAACTTCATGTAAAACTTGGTGAACTGAGGTGGAATGACGCATACAGGATGAGACGGCTACTGGATCAGGCTGATGGACGCACTTGAGGATAAAAAACAAGTGTCAGATATATATTTATGATTACTCCTGATGTTTTCAATTTGACTGTTGTGCCAAGTTTTGGTGCCTTTATGTGGATTTTTTTCTCCTCGCCTGAGCGTATGAGTAAAACTCGTGTGCAGCCCCTGGACGGTTTTATCTCCACGCTAATGAACAGACTCATGCAATCACAACACGCTGAAGTTTTTAATAGCCTGCTTCATGTTGGCACTAGTGATCGTCCTGTCAGATCTTTTTTTATATCTGGGAACCTTTGTTTAGTTGTTCTGGAGCCAGTTTACATTTTAAACTAAAGTGATCCTACAGGACTGTTGCTGCATTAAAATGTTGTTTGTAGTTGACTTCTGCTGACTTTGGTTTGATGAGCTGTTGGTTGGTGAACTTGTTGCTTCACGGGTAATGGTTTGTATCCCTTTAATCAGATAAACAGGTATTAGAAAGGTGTTGCCTTGATTACAGTCTTTACGGCGTGTTTTTGTGGAAGTTGGGCCACACAGGATCAGGATGTGGACACACACCCTCCCCACTCCCTCCTTCACTAATGCTGACCTCTGTTGGATTGGGACATAATTTAAGTCATTTCCTCTGTTTCACTGGCCTAAAAATGGCTGTTTAGCTTCTCTGAGGGTCCAAGTGAATATACAGTGCTGCTAATTAAACTGGGGAACTGCAGCATTTAATGCCGACTGAGAAACTTTCACACAGTCGTGTGTCTGGTGGATGAGGTGCTGCAGCCTCAGTTACAGGTGATGCTTTGTTGTGAGTCTTGCGTTGTGTGGTTGTGCGTCTGAAGGAATGTGACAAGAGGAAGTTGTGTCGTCACAATGCTGACATCTGATATTTTGTAAATCTGGTTTAATTACACAGAAACCAGCTTTCAGATTTAAGGCTTTGCTGATTTTTCTTTCAGTCATTTTAATTTGAGTTTAGGAGATAAAAACACGCCTCCCTGAGCTGAATAAAACAACGGTTTGCTGCAGCCCTACGTCTGGCTTTTGTCAGTTTCATGTAGTTACCTGAGTTCAGGCTGGAGCTGCTGGAAGCATGAAATAATAGTAATACCAATAACAGGATGCTTGTATGTACTGATCTGGACTTTTGAAGGAAACGGTGCAAACAGACGATGGAATGAGCTTTTCGTCTCTTCAGACCAAACAAACAGCAGTGTCTGTTTGTCATTAACACTTGGCTCTGGGTTCCATCACTCTTAGGAGAAACTTTGATTTGTTTTTTTCTTAAAGCTGAGTCTGCAACAGTCTTTAATGATGACTCATTATCTCATGATCCGTCTTGTGCTCGCCGGCTGACTGCCATGCTGGTTCCAGCGCGGTTAGGAACAGCGTTCATCTCTTTCACACACAGATAAAGGCCTTTTGATCGGCCTGTCAGGGACTTTTGCGTGTCACAAGGGATGGAAATTATCTCTCGGCTGCATCATTTATCTGTGTCATGATGGTTTTTTGCATGAGGCATACATACTGTTAAAAATAAACTTTCTGATTTAAAACGTTTTTTTTTAGCTTGGCCAAAAAATTCAAATAAAAACACGGACATGACTTATAAATTATGGTTTATTAAACACATGATTTTCAACAGTACAGAAAAAAAATGCCGGACTCACTGTTTCCAGCCAACACCGTATCAGCTTTAAACAACCAGATAACACTTGTTTGTGTCATTTATCGGCTGAAGCAGCTGACGTTCCTTTATCTTAATCTTTATACGATGCATGAATCATTAACGAGTTGATCAGACATGCAGGAGCCACTAAACAAGACTTTGTGCTGTAATTAACAAAGTAGAGCTTTTTAAATGGAGCGTCCAATTTGAAATTGTCCATGTGTTGGTGAAACAACCCTTGGACTATAAATCTAATTAAATGTAAGGCTGTGATGCTGTTTTTCCTCTCTTGGTCCCTGGCAGGTGAGATCTAGCTGAAGTTCATTTAACGCAGACGTCGCAGGTTTTTCAGTCCGTCTTAGTCGCACTCGTAGCGTTTACTGTTGTCTGCTGTCTGAGCTAAAGGTAACTGGGCTGGACTGACATGTCCCACATCTCCGTCTTAAATAAAGAACATTTATCAAAAAAGCAAATAGACAGTAAAATTAAAAAATATGGAAGTCAAACAAAACACAAAGCAGGAAAACATTTTGAAGAGACATATACAGCATTTCACATATTTGGGAGTCATAAAAAAAATCCAAAAATATATCTACTCATTGTAATTAAAAAAACAAACAAACATTAATATGACAAAATTCATCCTATAAAATTCAATTCCTCAGTGCTGGATGTAAACATTGTCTTGTCTCCAGTGAGCTCGTGGACGCACCTCGATGAGTTTTGGTCTATTTGTAGAGAAAACAACACATAGATCTGTTAACTTGGCCTCTATGGCAGCGGTCCCCAACCACCGGGCCGCACAGAAAGGAAGAAACATTTTATTGGTTTATTTTTATTTCCAGTCTGCAGGGTGTTTTATTTTGAAAAACGTCCAGCTCATCTTCCCATCACTTCCGTCTGTGCTTGTTTCTTGCATTTGACTGTCCGTTTTCATGCTTCGGCAGGTTATCACAGCGGAATTGTTGAATATTTAGCAATAAAAAGTAATTTTATTTGTTTATAAAACTTTTTAATAGAAAAAAACTATTAAATTTTGTTATGTGTGCAATGACCGGTCCGTAGAAAATGTTCTTGCTTAAAACCGGTCAGAGGTGCAAAAAAAGGTTGGGGACTGCTGCTCTCTGGGATTGTCTCCTGGGTGGTGTTTCACTAAGGACTGTGTTTAAATATACATAAAAACATTCTAATGGCATCAGCATGCTGGATTATCCTCAAAGCATTACTTCTAAATTTACAGTGCTTCTAATATTTTGCCTTGTTGTTGAGATTGTCTGCAGCGGGTCTCTAGAAGTCTTCATGCCCCCCAGGTGAGAGTGCGCGCTTTCTCTAGTTCGCCCTGTAGCATGAATCGTGCCTGCACACCTGTAGCTACGGCCATACCTGAGTGATACTCGTAGATATCATAAGAGGGGTCCTCAAAGTCCGGGTTTACTTTGAACTTTGTTGCCCATTGCCACTGCCACCACTCGTAGTCGCTTGTGGCTTTTTGTGCAGAGCTGTAGAACCCAACCCAAGACTTTCTGAAGTCGGTCTTCCACTCACTGAAAGCCTTGTGCACGTATAAGCGAGCACAAGCCTTCCCGTCTTTCACAAACAGCTGCAGCTTTGCGCTGTACTCTGTGATGTTGACTGCTGTGGGGTTGTGAAACTCAGGACCTCTGCATGTCTCTTCTCCCCGCCGCGACCAGAAGCAGTACACGGTCCTCACCTCGTGCAGCCGGACCTGAAGGCCGTCGTTCAGAGGAACACAGGTGTCATGACTGCCAGATTCTGAGTTCCCAATAGACTTGGAGGCCATGACCTCCTCGTCTTCGCCATTCTTGTAAAGCGCTACCATCATGCCTTGTCTTAGAAGATGTTGAGGGACTTTCCTCCAAACTATTCTGGCTTTCCCACCTGGGCCTGTCGTCACCTTCAGTGTCACCCCATTGCTCTGACCCATGTGAAGTCCTGCAAAAGTCTCAGATCTCCCATTTTGTCTGTTTTCTGGGATATTGACAACAAAGTCGGTGTTCCTTCTGGCTGCAGGCGGAGGTCTGTGGTTGCGCTGGGCAGGGGAGTGCTTCTCCTGGATCACGATAAACAGCAACAGTCCCAGACAGGCGAGGCTGCCCCAAGTGTCTCTGATGAGCCTCAGCTGGGAATCATCGACGCTGCTTCCAAAGCGGTTCCTGAGATTTGTCATTGAGTTCATTCTGTTGTCATCCACTGGAAACTCTCTGATCTGTCTTAGAAGGTTGACCGTCAGCCGGTATGTGTGGTCCGGATCGTACCGGGTCCCCTGGTGCTCCGACGTCTCGTAATGCTGCGTGGTGTAGACTTGGTCTATTGTACTGCCCACGTTCTCCTCCCTGACTCTGATGATGATTCGGTTCCGGTTTCCTCCCTCACGCTGGAAGAGGACGACGTAAGACGGAAGTTCCAGCGAGTCCTGCTGGTTGATGTTGCCCACAGTGAAGTATCGGTATCTGGCGTTGCTCAGAGGCAGCGGCTCCAGAATCCCCTCATAGTTGCCGTAATGATGGGAGCCATAATGGCGGCTGTCTGGGTCAAAACTCAGCCGTATGACGTTGTTGTTGTCGATGGTCACTGTGGTGGCAAACCAGTGGAGCAACACGAGGGCTGCATTGTGCCCGGACTGTCCAGAGCCGATGGTCTTCAGATCACTGATGGACTTGAGTCTTGGTACAGCTGATGCAGAGGTCAGGACGAGGATCAGAGCGATACAGCACACCGGGACTCTTCCTGAGACCCTCATCATCCTGCAGACATTATAAAAGCTGTGTTATTCATTCACAGTGAGTCCAGACATGATCATCCTGCAGACATTTAAGTTTCGTTATTCATTTGTTCTGTACATTCTCACTCCATACATGTTTTTGAAACTTTAAATGTTGATGGATGCCTAAAAGACAGGTCCACAGCTTTATATGATAGAGGATCAGAGCAGTGAAGGGATCCGAGTGCGCATTCAAACTTTTTCTGTAAAATATCTTCCACAGATTGGTCTTTAGTTTCTTCAATGATAATTTTAGCTAAATGCTTCAGGAGACACAGTAAAACAGTGAAAGTCTTCGTAAAAAAGGAAGAACGACAAGAATTCAAAGAAGTATTCAAAGAGGAAGAAGAAGAAGAATTCAAAGAGGAAGAAGAGACGTATCGATGCTCCGTGGATTGATTAGACATGTGTAAACAAACTACGTATCAGAAACGTTCAATAAGCCTCACAAGAACAACATGAGCTATGACTAATTAAATATAGTTCTGTATATTTCTCTACATATTTAGTAAACCTAATAAATGCTCACATTCTGCACATGCATGCATCTTGTAAAATATTATTTACATGTTTTTGTTGCATCATACTAATGTTGGGTTGCTTTACCTCAAAGCTAATTCTGTTTACTTGTTTATTTGTTGTTCATGAAGGTGAGACCATCACTTTGTCCTCGTTTATTTTTATTTGTTTGTCGGTGTGTTAACAGTAACGTCATTAGCTCTGTGCTGTGATGAGCAAAGTGGATCTATTTACAGTCAGCTGGTTGATCAGGACACGTTTTTCACCTTTTTTACATGGTGGCTGTAGACAAACAGCTGAATGCACTTTTACCCAGAACCAGGATCAGTTAGACTGAGAAGGCATCAGGACGCGATCGCTCAGCTGTTGTTTTAAGACAGACATCAAATTTATCGCTAATAATGCACTTTAAATGAATTATTGAGCAATAATCACATGTTATTTCTCTGTTCATGCCACTTTGTACAAAAATCAAAACACAACTACGAGCCAGGCAGTGAAGGGAGGCAGATAAATGTTTCAAAGCAAAGGAGCATGTGTGGACAAGTGACATGCTTCAGGAGGCAAAGTGCAATCAAATCTACTCCAAATGTAATCCGACAGAAACACAACCGCCAACTGAATTGTATTTGACAAAAACCAGCTATAAATGATTAACAAGTCACATGAATAGAAGCCAAAGTAAATGTAGAATTTGCTTTAATAAAATAGGAGCGCTTACCTGCAGCAGCCTGCTCCTGCCTGGAGCCTCGTCTGGTCGGATGTGTTTGTGTGGAGCAGACAACTCCCTTTAGGTTACGTTTCCTTGTTAATGGAAATGAAACTGAAACCAGGCAACAAGCAACCTAGTGGTCAGAGTGCGCTATTAGGATGAAACCGCCGCTGCTCAGGAAAGGAAAGCGGTGCTGTGATCCAGTGAGTTTGGTCTGAAGTACAGGAGCTGAATGTTTAAAAGCAGGTTCAGGATGATGTTCGTGTGTTATGGGTCAAAATTTCTGTTTGTGTTTATAGATTTCTGTGTTCTGATGGATTCAAACTACTAACACAGTAGTTTTAGATCCAGAACACCCAGTTAGTTAATCTCTTGGAGACTTTATTTATCAGTGTGTATCCGTTTGGTTAGTTTTGTTTGCAGATCTAACGCGGAGCATCCAGTTTCACTGAGCTTCAAATGAGAACACCAGCAACACCAATAACGTGGTTTATTGAAAACACAACCTTCCACAGTACAAAAAGAATACAAAATCGTAATTAAAATGTAATCACACTGTAAATGCTGACTCTGATTGTTGTCATTTATCAATCAAAACAAAGCATGAATCGGCACTCCTAGATGAGACATGATGACTCAGCATTATGGCAGAACTGAAACCAGAGCAGAGCATCATCACAAACAAGACCCGCCTTGGAGTGAAAGTACTTCTATAATGAACAAAAGCTGTTTAACAAACAACAGTTCTGCATATTGATCTGTGACGCTCCAAATAACCAGGTTTATTGTGGTGAACACGCCATCATCAAAGATAAACCTGTGTCAGTGTCAGTCCTAGTAAATACGATGCCACTCTGACGACTGGTGACGTCCTCATCTCTTTGGTCCTATAGACTGAAACCATCACAGCACACACTGTCATCTACATTACCAGGCCTGCCATACAGAGCCTACATCTCAATCTTAACAAAGCAATATGTACAAAACAAACTGATAAAGGACACAGAAAAGCGAAAGCATACAGCAGAACAAAAGAGCAGCCCTGGTGGTATCATAGTGGTGTAATCACTTGATTCTCTGTTCCAGTTCAACTTCCTCCCAGGTTCGTGCTCCATATCATCATAAAAAAGCATCATTACAATCTGGTTGAGATGTGGGATCCAGCAACGTGCCCTCTCATGCTTGGTGGACACTTATGCTACCTAATATTAGAGCAACCAAAGCCAAGATCAGTAACAGAACAGCAATTATCACACAGTCATTGCTCCAACCATCATTAGAGTTTCTTCTTGTTGCTGCTGACTGATATTGGAGTCGGCTAGAGTAGAAGCCTTCCTGGACAACGATAAACAACAACAGTCCAAGACAGGCGAGGTCGCTCCATGACTTTATGATACTCCTTAACTGGGAATCATCAGCGCGGCTTCCAAAGCGGTTTCTGAGATCCGTCAGTAGCCGCAGGTCTCCGTTCATGGGGAACTGTCTGATCTGTCTCAGGAGGTTCGTGGTGACCAGATATGTATGATCTGGATCATACTCTGTCCCCCAATTATGACCATTCTCATGATGCTGTGTGATGTAGACTTCGTCTATTATCTGTAAACCTTGTCTTCCCACGTTCTGCTGCCTGACTCTGACGATGATTCGAGCCCTGTTTCGTCCTGCGTATTCGTACCGAGGGCGGACAACATGAGGCGGAAGTGGCATCCCTCCCTCCTGGTAGATGTTACCGATGGTGTAGTATCGGTATCGGGCGTTTCCCAGCGGGTCCAGCAGCCCTTCATAGTTGCCGTAATGATGTGCGCCATAGTCACTGTTGTCTGGGTCAAAGTTGAGGCTTATCATGTTGTAACTGTCGATGGTCACTGTGTTGGCAAACCAGTGGAGCAGCACGAGAGCTTCAGTGGGCACCGACTGGCCGAAACCGACTGTCTTCAGATCACTGATGGAGTTGAGTCTTTGTACAGCTGATACAGAGGTCAGGACGAGGATCAGAGTGACGCAGCACACCGGGACTCTTCCTGAGACCTTCATCATCCTGCAGACATTATAAAAGCTGCGTTATTCATTCACAATGAGTCCAGACATGTTTAAACTACTGCTGCATCTAATGACTGCATCATGACCGTCTCTCTCTCACTTTATACATATACATATGTATATATACATGTGTGTATATAACACTGACATACATCTTCATAGAGGCTTAAAACTGGCTTCCCATAACTGCTCCTGATCGTACCGACCACACCCTTCCTCATGCGTTTCAGTGTAAGTGACATGATCCAACTCACTTCAGCAACCTGTTGGACAAACCTCACAGACTATAGTCTTATTACCTGACTGTCTTTCTTTGGGTTACAAACACAAATATATATATATATATATATCAGTGTTAGAGCTATCATCAAACCAGATAATAACTCTACATCTGTGTGTGAATTTGGACATATTAATGGGTGTTTGAGAGTTTTAGAAAAGATTTACAAATGCAAAGTAATTACACCAAATGCAATCTATCGACAAAAACTGTCAACGGCATTGTTTTTTATAGATAAAATTTTCGCCTTTGGAATCATTTGTGAGCATGAAAACAAAGAGAAGAATGTTTACCTGCATGAGTCTGCAGCTTTCAAGGGTCTGATCTCTGTGTTTGCTGGTGAGCAGTCTGATAGCCTTTAGGTTTTGGTTTCCTGGTAAATGAAACTTTGACAGTGGCTGGAGCTTGTAGGAGGAGACGAGGAAGTACCTTAATTAAGCTGCTGGGATGAAGTCTCCTCCTTTATTCCAGAAAAAAATACCAGGACTCTGACTAACATTTTACATTGTTTGTAAACAAAAAAAATTTTTTTAATTTAGATGCACCGAAAACTTTCCACTGCACACAACAATAAGTGAACCCTGAGAGCTTCTGCGTTAGACGGGCTCTTAGACCTGATCAGAATACAGGACACTTTAATTGCCAAGTGAGCTTGCACACAAAGGACTTGGGCATGGTGAATGAAACTGGGCTGCTCAACGACAACAAGACAGGCAATAAATATAGAAATCTAAATCTAAAAAATTCTAAATAAAATACTTTATGTAAAAGAAAAGTATAAAAGTCACCGTTATTTCAGACAATCAGGAGTGATTTAAAACTAAACCATGAGTATGGAGCTGGTGCTGGGTTCCTTTCTAACTGGCCAATAGTGCACATCTGTGCTGGGACTCTAGTCCGCCCTCTACTGACCCCTCCAGTGACCCCTCCAGTGACCCCCTCGCCCTCTGGTGACCCCTTCACCCTCTGATAAACCCCTTTGCTCTCTGGTGACGCCTTTACCCCCCGATGACCCACCCTCTGGTAACCCGTCCGCCCTCTGGTGACCCCTCCACCCCCCTGGTGACCCCTTTGCCCCCCAGTGACCTTCCCTCTGGTGACCCCTCTGCCCTCTGGTGACCCCTCTGCCCTCTGGTGACCCCT